CAGTCCGACTGTTCTTGCTCCACTTGTAGTTTGGGTCACTCGGGATGGCGGTTTTCCTGCAGGAGCAGCTTTCTGCTGAAAAAAAAATCCTCGAGGAGGGTGACGGTTTGAGCCGCTAGAAAGTGTTTTCCTCCCTGTGCCGCCACTGGAAGCAGCTCTTGGCAGGGAGACCTCCCCATCAGCTGGGCCCGGAGACCAACCTTATCTTATCCTGTGCTCCCGAACCCCGGATCTCCATCCCTGCCGCATCTGGGAGCCAGGACAGAGCGAGATCTGGAGAGGGGAGACGAGGCAGCTGCTGCGATGTCTCCGCTGGGTCTGAGGATGCTCCTCACAGCCCCCAGACCCTCCCTGGAGCAGCCCGGTGCCAGCGCTGTGTCTGGGGACCGTCTGACCCAGGACTTGTCACTGGCGGTGACCGTAAGAGAGAGAGAAAACCGGGACAGGACCGTGCAGTGCTTCCAAGTGCTCTCCAGCCTCTGGCTCTTCTCGTTTTAGGGGATTTCTGTGTGTTTGGTGACGTCGGGGGACTTTCTCGATGCCCTCGCCTCGAGCAGGGGGTGCCTCTCCCCGACCCCCGCGCGGTGCCTGTTGGCGTCAGCTCCGGTTAGGGCTAAATCTGCTCGCCCGGATTAAGTGGCGCAACCGCTTGAGGATTTAAGGAATGACGTGGGGGAAGCTGGAGCGGGCTGAACTCTGGAGAGGGAGGCTCCAGAGTGGGTTGGAGCCCCTTTTCCAGCACAGGGGCAGGGGAGATGAAGGCGTTGGTGCCTCCATGATACGAGTTTTGGCTTCAGGGCAGCGTGGCATCACCTGGCAGAGGGTTTTTGCGGTGCGGTGCTGCCCGTCCTGAAGGCACGGGGTGTCCGAGGAATCAGGCAGGGAAAAAGCCTTTCGGTGCGATGCCAAGGGATGTTATTTTGGTGCGTCTTGTTGGTAGAGTCTCCCTTCCCTTCCAGACACATCCTTTGACCTGAGATTCTCCTAAAAAAAACCCACAACCTTGGCACGTTCATCCCATCCCCGCAATGTTAGGGCTTTCGGGCCGCGCGGGCAGCTCGTTTACTTTGCAAATGCCGGCTGCGGGATCCAGGAGCTGTTTCCCAGCCTGATCCTAACCACGTGGCATCGGTGACTTGTGTTCGGTTTTTCTGCAGCCCTACATACGTGCTGCATCTTGAGGGAGCATCCCCCGTGCCTCCGGCTGGGATTCAGCCCAGCTCTGTCGCATCGTGACAGCGTTTCGGTTGGGCCCTCGAGGCTACGGGAACACGGGGGCTCACGCAGCTTCGACTCTCAGGTCGTTTGGGTGATGGGTGTCGGGGTGCAGCACCCCCGTCCTGGGTCTCCCCAAGTCTGTGGGGGATTATTTAGATGGATTTCCCTTTGGACAAGCCCCTCGGAGCAGGAGCAGGGTGTGTGTAGGAGAAAGAGCCCGTCTCTTTATTTAGGAAGCAGTTTGGGATGGCTTCTCCACCTGGGCTCTGCCGCACCACCACGGCATTGCCCCTGCGGGCACCGGGATGCGCTCCAGCTCCGCGCTTGTCCTGCCCGCTGGCACTCATCCTGCCTGCTGCCGTCCTGCCTGTCCCCCACCTGCTCTGGCATCACTCCCTGCCCGTTGAGCCGAGCTCTTTTCCCTTGAATAATTTCCTCTCCGTAGGTCTGGTGGCTGTTTGCCGGCTCTGCCGTGCCGCCGGAGCCCATGGATCACTGCCCTGGCATCGGTCTCCTGGGATTGCATTCTGCTTTGGCTCTCGGTGTCAGAAGCGCTGCGGCACGGCAATCTCCGGTTGCGGTTTGCCGAGGGCGGAAGCGTCACCTTTCTGGCCTGCCGGGTGATAACCTTCCCTGCGCGGCGCTGGGAGTGTGTTTACTTTACCTGTTGTGGCCGATAAGCGCCTCTGATAAAACTCATGATAGTAAATAACAGGCTTTAACGAGAGGGGAGCAATTAAAGGAGGGAGGTGGTGCCTTTGGTACGGGCTCTGCCCTGGGAAGATGGTGTTTTGCTGACCTGGAGGAGCAGACCCTGGCCCTGACTGGCCGAAATCTCCATCACCCCAGGGAGTTTTGTAGACCTGTGATTCTTCCCATCCCAACCTCCATCTCCTGAGGAGGAGAGGCTCTGCTTTGGAAGGTGTTATCTGAGGCAGCGAGGAGGGAGCCGCCGCTCCTTGGCCACTCGGTTGCGAGCCCCGGGGAGTTCCTGGCAAGAAATGCCCTTTTTTTCTCCGTGTGACTTGAGAAATCGCAGAAATATTCTTGCTGTCCTTGAACGGCAGAGATACGAACGTGGGGATTGAAGGGAATGGATTTACAGCTCCGAAACGCATTTCTCCCCTCTCTCCCTTCCCCTCGGGGGCTTACAGGCTTCTCCTTGCAGTGCCAAACCGATGCATGAAAAAGCAGCTCCCCTGAAGAGCCCCGAGCCCATGCACGGCCGTGAGAAACTGGAGGCATCGCACAAGGAGAAGAGTTTGGATTCCCTCGATGGCAGGTGAGGGGCAGCCTCGCAGCAGGGTCCCGGGGTCTCCGGTTGAGTATTTGCTCTTTTTCCTTCTGTTCCCACCTCCTGCAGCACCCCCGCTGCCTCCAAGCCCCCAGCTGGGAGTGGGCACAGGGGGTCCCCTCTTTGTTTTCGCCCTCAAATATTGGGTCTATAAAAGCAGGGAGGGGAGAAGGGTTTGGGGAAGGGGACCGGTATTCCGACTGCTGAGCTTGTTGGGAGGATTTCACTGTCTCTGTGGTTTCTCCCTCGCCTGCGTGGTGAGTGCGGACGGATGCCCCCGCGCACGGCCGAAGCCGAGTCCGTCCTCCTGCCCCGGCACATTCCCAAATTCCCATTTGTGCTTTCCCTGGGGAAACCTCAGCCTGGCCGAAGCTGCCATCGCCAGCTCCCAACCTGTCCCAGGCCGCTGCCGGGGGCAGCTCTGGGCTCCTTCCCCCAGCGCCGGGGTGCGTTTTGGGTGCGGGCACCCCGGTGCTGGTGCCTCCACCGGCTCCATCAGCCCGATGCCTGACAGAGATCAGCCTTCTCCTGCAGCCGTTATTTAACCTCAGCAACGCCCGATGCTACGATAAATCACCGTGACATCCAAAATGTGGCTTCCCGGGGTCTCTCTTCGGTCCCCTACGTCTTGCCATGTCTCCTCTTGTAGCACACGTGTTTTCGGGAGTGGGTGAGAGATGGGACTCTTCACTTACCTGATTATTATTATTTTTCCTTCCAGCCTCCACCTGAATGAAGCCCTGAAGGATGAAGACATCAAGAAATGCCACCGGGAATTGGTAAGTCTTTGGCTTTGTGAGCGAACGGGCTGGTTCGTTGAAGCCTGACCCCGGCTGTTTGCCACGGAGGAGCCCACTCGGGGTCTCAAATGTGGGCTGTGGGAGCCGGAGGTGAAGCCGTGGCGGCTGCTGGTGCGGGGCAGAGGCT